GACCACAGGTACCAAGCCAGTGCCTGCTTCCCAGCAGAGTTTGTGGGTTCCAAGACTTAACAACCGCGGCTGGCATTGAGAAAGACGGGAAGAATCTTTGAGCCCCGTGGCTCTATTAGAAAGATCAAGTTCGTCTCAGGAAGAATTCCCAAGTCCTTCTGAGCAATCTCATCCTCTGCCTTTGCCCAGCAGATCCACACACTGCCGTGAACACAAGCCCAGGGTATGGAGCGCACACAGCACTGCCCCCAGGTGCTCTGGCGTGAAACTGTGACTCACCCAACCCAGGGACGCCAGCTGAATCTTCGAGGGCACCCTCCCTCGCATCCAGAGACTGACACAGCACAACGGGGAAGCAGCGCTGGGCACCGGGACAGGCAGAAGTTGGGGATCGAACTGAACGGTAAGCCTCATTTCCTCCTTTTCCTTTTTTCTCATTTTCTGTCCTTAATTTTCTGATCCTGTCCCATTTTCTTAGTCTTTCCCAACCAACACTGTTGAGGGAAATTATGGCGGTCAGGGAGTCCAGGAAACATGAGGCAGTGCTTAAAATCCTCCTCTGACTACACTGTCATCTCTACAGCAATAGGTGTAACATTTGCAAAGTCTCCAAAATTCAGGTCAGCTTACACTTGTAAGGTTACGTTTAAGCCTGCACTGAAGGACGCATGCGCAAGGGTTGCCAGTGAACCGCATTCTAACGATAAATAGAAGCAGCGATAACAACACAATGCCGAACGCAATGGCCTTGCTTGTGTTCCCAGCTATTCAGGAGGCTGCAGCAGTAGGTTCACAAGTTAGGGGCCCACTTGGGCCACTTAGTGAGGCCCTTTTTAAAGAAAATTCTAAAAGGGCTGGGGATGTAGCTCAGTCACAGAACTTTAAAAAGGTGAAAACTCTTTCCTCACATGCGTGAGTCCCTGGGTTCCATCCCAGTATCACCAAAAATTAAAAAAAAAAAAAAACATAATTCAATCAGTGAAGCTTTGAATAAGACTATGCCCCTCTAAAACTGTAGATGCTGAACAGAAAGTGATAAAAATGTCTTAATTCTAGCATCCACCTGGCATTATAAAAGACCTTACCTATAGTGCCTTTCATTCTACAATCCTCAGCACCTACCCAAAGTCACATAACCAGTAGGGTTTGTAAGCCGTGTGCAGTTATCGAATATATTTCCCATGTATTTAATAGTTAATCTTCTGTACAAGAGCACAGAGCCGATCACAGGTGATCCCTTCCTATGACTCATACACCTGTGATAAGGTTAAATGCGCCCAGACAGCCTCCGAGAAATCCCTACAGTCTCACTTCAGTAGCGGAGCATGCTTTCGTCCGATTCCATCCGCGCCTGCTAAACACTTCTTCAGTGTGTAAGACCCCACGCACACACTAAGAAAATAAAAATCTTTTAAAAGTAGTAAAATACAGAAACAAGTAGCTTCAAGTGCAATTCCTCTTCTTACCTTCCGGGCTTTTCATCGTTGAGGGCTTAGGAGACAGCTGGCTGGGCAGAGGTGGGAACACTCAGGATAATCCGAAAGGCTTTCTCCCCTCTAATGAAGCCTGCTGGCTTCAGCCTTCAGGTTTTGTCAAAACCAAAAGTGAATTTTGAAGCCAGCGCCTGAGAACATTGCTCATTCTTCTCTCCCTCTGCGCAAGAGCTTGGGGTCGGATCTGCGTGGCACGAGAGTGACAGCTCACATCTTGTCAGACGACCCAGAGAAAGTGGGCTCCAGGAGACGCTTGTGTCAGAGCCCCTTGGGGCTTTGATCCTTCAGCAGTGACAAATCTGGGGAACTGTGAACAGGAAACTCAGTGCTGGGAAGCGGCCAGAATCACTCAGCAAATTGCCCAGGTCTTACGAAATCCCAGTACCCTTTGCTGCAGATCACCTCCCACATTTCACAAGGCCGGCTCTCCCCTGATATGACCTTGCACCGCACCTGGACAAGGCTGCCAGCACTGTCGCCAACATTAGAGCCCCGGGCAGGCCTGGGGCCTCGTCGCCCCCCTCTCTGCACAGCTCCCAGCCTGTCACACAGCGTGTCCACAAGGGCACCCCAGTGATGCCACCTGACCGACCCCCAGACCTTTGCGACAGTGCCCAGAGCCCAGCTGTGCCCCTAAGAGCTCTGAAGGACCTCTTCCTTGTACCGCAGAGGTGGGGTGACCCATTACCACCCCTGGGGGGCACCTGGGCCATGGAGATGGGCGCTGGACCTGCCCCTCTGTCCCCCGCCACACCAGCCAGACCCACCGGGGACGGTGGGTCAGGTCCCCTGCTGTGCCTGAGTTCCCAGGGTAGGACAGGGTGCTTCAAGCCCTGCAGCACGGGAGGAAACGGAGCAGCCTCCCTTTCTGGCAGCCCAGGTCCTGCAAGCTGCGGCCGCACCCTGCCCAAGGAGCTCGGGGCCAATCCACAGGACTGGGAAGACACCGCTGACCCCCTTTGCTCCGGTGCTGCCTCGTAGCTCTGAGCTGCACCTCCTCTGCTGCTCCCCCGGCCGCCACCCTGCTCTGTGCCTCGGGTGCACTGGGGCGCTTCTCCCTGCTGTGGCGCAGCAGGCTTCTTCTAGGAAGCGACAACGCTTTGGTCCCATTTCACAGGTGGGACCTTTCCTGATGAAGCTGATGAAGGACCTTTCCCAAGATCCTGGAGCCGGGCGGGGTGGAGACGACCGGGTGGAAATGACAGGGCGGCGACCAGCCTGTGTTTCTCTGGGTCTGACCCGGGATCCAGCGTGGTGCATTCGGGAACGGGGCCTATCTGCTGGGGAGCCACCTTCCCGGCAGCCTGTCCCTCACTTCCTGGCCTCCCTTCCCAGGGCCTTCCACGCGAGCTGGCTCCCGCGCAGCTGTGATTAGCTGGCTGACTGATGGCCTTCCACTGAGAGACCAAATGCTCCCATCTGACCTGGACAGGGAAGTGAGCAACGCGAAGAATCAGCAGACGGGTCTCAAGTTTCAGGGAAGAGTTCCGGCAGCCGCGCTGCCTGCGGTTTGACCCGCGCTCTGCTGTGCGCGCAGGGCCGCTGAGGTCCCGCAGCCTCCCCCAGACGTGGCACACTCGACCAGGGGCCGGGGCTGCCCACCTCCCGCCGTGGCGAAAGCCGAGGCCCGGATGGCTGCTCCTCCCCCGACCCGGTGACCGCCGCCTTTCCAAGGTCCGGGGTGGCCCCAGGGCGAAGCTGTCCCGCCGCGTGGAGGGGCGCAGCCCTGGCACCTGCTTGAGACGAGGCTGCCAGCATGAGGGTGAAGCCCTCGCCCGCAGAGGGCCTTCCGGAGACAGCGGAGCCGGCGCTGGGCAGGGCCCGGCCTGCCTGCCCGGGATGGGATCCGCAGGGCCAGCGTGGGGCTTAAAGCCGGGTCTGTGAGTCTGGCCTCGGGCTCTGCAGCCCAGGGTGCAGGGCAGGCCTGCCCAGGGAGCTCCCCGCATTCCCCCAGCCTCCTCTCCTCGCAGCCTTCCTCCCGCCTCGCCCTCCTGTCTCCCTCCTCCCTTCCTCCCCGTCCTCCTCCTGTCTCCTTGTTCCTCTGTTTCCCCGTTTCCTGTGTCCTCCCCTGGAGGAAGAGAGAAAGCCCGGGGAGTGCTGCGCGGACACGCCCAGGCCACCAGGCGCTTCGCAGGGGATGCAGCGTCCTGACAAGTGCTTTCCCTGCCCCGCACTGCCCCCCCCCCCCGGCTGGTCCCTCACACGGCACACACATGCACACGCGCGCACGCGCACACACACAAATGCTCTTACACACACATGCGCATGCGCATCTGTGGCGTCCCAGGCTGCAGGCCAGGAGGGCAGCGGTGGAGGGGAGCTCTCATTCCAGACGCGCTTCTGGCTTCCCAGGAGGGCCAGGCCCAAAGCATGAGGGAGCTCGGGAAGCCGCAGCCCTGGATTCCAGCAGTCCACCACCCCCGGACGGGAAAACATGGGCAGCGAGACCCTAACACATTCCTCAAGTAGGAGTTCACCACCCTGACCTTTCTCTAACCGGTTTAGATCACTGTCTTTACTGAACAGTGGGAAGATTTCCTTATGAGCACTTTTCAGGACCTTTTCCACTCAGATGGATTCTTCTCTCTTCCTCCTTCCTTCATCTCAGCAAGGAGAAAAATAGGAGTCTGCACAGCGAAGTTAACACATAGGAAGCCTACACACAGGCACACATGCACACTCGTGTACATGCCTTGCCACACATATGCACACTCATGGATATGCATGTGTGCACTGTATGCACTCACACGCACAGATGCTCACCTTACACACACGCACGTGCACACGCAATCCTGCTTGGGTCTGGCCCACTGTTTACTCTCCCCTGGAGTTCAGGGAAAACAGTCATCGCGGAGGACAAAAATTCAGTACCAGAATGGGCAATCTCTAAGGCTCCCAGGTCCTTTAGGAATGCCAGAGCATAGAATTCGCTCAGCCAAACCCAGAGCTTTTAAACTTAAAACTATGAGAAGGCGTTATTACAGCAATGTTGCTGTTAAGCGGGACTTTGCAGAACTCTGGAAGGTCTGAATTCATACCGAAGGGCTCAGAACTAACTCGTGAGTTCTCCTGCAAGTGTTTTCCCATTCAGAATTGAATTGCATTTGAGAATGTGTTTGACGTGACTGTAACCTGCGCGTCTCCTACACATCACAACTGATAAAAGAGGAGCCCGCCGAGGCACGGCAGGACGAGTGTGCATGGGCGTGAGCAGTGTGTGACTCCAGTCTCAGGTCTCCCTTCAAAGGCTGTGGGGTCTTTAGGAAAGGGTAGGACGGCTCTGTTCACTAGCTCTGGCAATTGTGTGGTTAAATTGGCTGACCTCGGAAATGCCTGCAGTGGTGCCTTCGGAACTTTAACCTTCCTCCGTGAACGATTCCAATGCCGTGCCCAGTGACGGCCTTGGACCTTTGTGGTCAGATTGGTCACTCGCGTGCTGGTTCCACTCTTGTCCCAGGCAACAACACACGATTCAGACCATCCCCATGCCTCTCCCTGTGCACGGGACAGCCTGGGTCTCCCACTCCCACCAGACCTCCCCAGAGAATATGCCCCTCGTCCTCCTCCTCTAAACAGGCGGTGTCTACCTCCATTCATGAGTTGGAGGGATTTCTGAAGGGAGCAGGAAAGTTCTGGGTGCATTAGGACCTGGGTAACTTTTTGGCACCTCATGAAGCCCTGATTGCTAAGAGAAGCAGGCATGAGCAGAGAAGAAGCCAAGTCTGGAGAGGCTCGCTCAGCCTTTTGTTTGATGGGTTTTCAGATGGACAGACTAGGCAAAGTGCTGTGGACTTAGTGAATCAGGGCTTCCTGAAAGCATTTTCCAACATCTGTCTGGTGAGTGAAATGAGGAATGTGCTTAGGAGGGGTGGGTGCCCTCACACACGCCCATACTTGGGATCAATGGGCCCATGGAAGAGCCCAGGGTCTTTGGTCAGCCCCATCCTGGCTGATGTGTGTACCACTGGGCTCTCCTCTCGGGACAGAGCAGTCAGGTGGGGACAGACAGGGTGCTGTTCAGCCTTCTGTCCAGGGAGGATGGGGACAAGGCACACAGGGTAGGGGGGAGGGAGGGGAGGAATGAGTACATCTTCCCAAACAAATTCACAGTTCTACAGTTTGGATGTGGTCACCACCCAAGGGTTCCTGTTTGAGAAGTTTGGTTCCCAGGTGGTGACATTAAGAGGTGGTCAGATCTTTAAGAGACTGAGCCTAGCACAAGTTGTTAGGTCATTAGGAGCATCGCCCTCAAAGGGAATGAAGTTGTTCTCATGGGTGCCCAGTTAGTTCCCCAAAGAGAGTTGTTATAAAAGGACAAGACTGGCCCCTCTCTGGTCTCTGGCTTGCTGTCTCACTAGATCATCTCCACCTCTCACACAGGAGCCCCCATGAAGCCATCTGCCATGAAGTGACACAACCAAGGAGCCCCACTGCACCATGCTGTCTGTACTGTCAGCCTCAAAAAAATGTAAGCTAACTAGACCTCCTTTCTTTATAAAGTACCCAGCCAGCCTCAGGTGTTTTGTTATAGCTACAGAAAATAGACTAAGACACAAGGTTAGAGACAGAATTGAAATCTAAAACAAAAAATGTACCAAGTGAGCACTGGTTAAAGAAACCAGGTAGTATGCAGGCAGAGCCTGATAAAGTTCCAAGGGGCTTCAAAGGCAGAAAGGAGAACATCTCAAGGCCAAGTCAGAGGAAAGGGAGGAAACCAGATGTGCCCAGCAGGTTCACATAGCATCAGGGCAGAGCTGGCACATTTAACACACTCTGGAGGGCTTGGAGGCAAAATGGACTGGGAATTCACTGAGTGAGCAAACCGGGGTCCAAAAGGTCCCATGAGAATGGACCTATGGGCCCAAGGTGACATCATAAATTTAGCAGACAAATCTAAAATGCAGTTCATTGTGGTTTCTACCTACAGGTCTCCCAAGAACCTCATGTGCCCGTAGGCAGGGCTTTTGGATGGTGATTGATTGGGGGGGATTAGGAGGACTTGCTGTGAGGTGGGGCCAGGCTAAAAGAGGCGCCCCCTGGGGGTGAGGCCTGGAAGGTGCAGCCCCCTCCCCACACCTCCTCCCTTCTCTCTGCTCCCTGCCCACCAGGCCATGAGCAGCTGACCTCTGTTATGTCCCTCTTCCTTCACCCACCGCACCATGAGCAGCTGACCTCTGTTATGCCCCTCCGCCATGCTGTCCTGTGCTGGAACCAGCCCAACGTGGACTCTAAATGTGAGCCAACATAAAGGCCAGTGTTGGGAATGTTGTCCCAGCAATGAGGAAAGTGACAAAGACACCACTGTGCTTTCGACACTTATTTTCCTCCGTGTAGCACAGGGCACCCCAGAAAGCAACAGCACAGGAGGAAAACAAACCACACAGCGTCAGGATCTCAACTGAGTAAGACACCCCCTATAGGCGCGTGTGGTAGGAGACCTGTGCTCACTGTCCTGGTAGAAGTGCAGCTTCCAGTCCAAGGGAAAGTGGTCACCTCAGAGCCGCACACCCAGAAGGCATGGTTGGGCCTCTCAGGGATGGACCGTGGACAGTGGGGTAGAAAGTTCCACAGAGCGGTATAAACAGGACTTCTGTAACCACAAAGAGCTTGGCCATGAAAGCGTCTAACCCAGTGGTGGTGTGTTTCCCACTCCTTGGAGGACTTGAGCAGCTCACTCAGATGGCATGCACAATTAGCGGGGTTGCTTCTGCTATTTCCTCCGCACTCTCTGCTCTGAGCCTCCTTCATGGGGATCATACTGTTTTATTTTGTTTTGTTTTGTTTTCAAGACAAACCAATGTGCTAGGCAGGAAATGTTCTCAACATTCACATCTCGAAGTAGGAAACCAGGGTGAGGAGGTGCCAACCCAAGACCGGGACCGGGACCCAGTGGCTTCGGTTTCCTTTCTCTATGACCATTACAGTCATGTTTCATTTGGGGGCTCTTTGCAGCTCTTCCCGTGAAGAAGGAAGTTATTGTTTTTAATAGGGTAAGATGATATGTCACTTGCACTTATTATGTTTCCAGCTCCAAATATGAGTCACGGTCCAATAGATGTGTCTGATTTTTTGTCCCTTAAAGCGTTGGGTGAAACTCTATTGTTCTTAAGTGTTCTCCAGCATAAGTTTACTGGCATCACAATTTGTAAAAGATGCAAAATGTTCTGATCCGATTTTTAAAATATGTTTGTCATAAAAATTATATCTATAGATGATATGGAAAATAAAGAGGATTTTAAAGTCATTCAAGGTCTTAATGTCTAATATCCATGAATGTTAGAATTTTGGAATATTCTTTCTCTCCCTAGGTACATAAACCTTCCTAATCTCTTTAGAGTTTTGTCTTGGTTACTTTTCTCTCGTTGCTGGGACAAAATACTTGACATCCAAAACTAAGGAAAGAAAGGTTTACTTAGCTCACAGTTTGTGGAGTTTCAGTCCATACTTAGCTGGCTTCAAGGCAGAGGGGCACATGGCAGAGGGCAACAGCTCATGGCTGTGGAAAACAGCAAAAGCAGCAAGAGCAAAAAGGGAGGAGCAGCAGAGAGCAAGCCTCTTTCCCACCCTTATATTATATGTAGGTTGCTGCCCCAGGGCGGGTATAGCAGTCACACCTAGCATTGGACCATGAATCAATCAAAAACTCTAGAAGCCTGCCCCATGACTACATGAGGCTTTGGGGAGACATCCAGACACAAACCATAACATGATTAAAGTCACACACAGTTCTTTATGCTATGAATGGCTTCCAGAACCATCATTTTGTACATGTACTGTACCACTAACTAGGGATTCAATAAAATGCAACTCACTGCAACATTCTAGGCTCTCACTCATTGCTGAAGAACCAGACAGGAGACCAACTCTTCCCCATCACCCACTGCCTGGATATTGCTTCTGCTGCCTGGGACCCACTCAGACGCATTTCCCCTTCTTTGCAGTCTTAACTCTCTTTACGGCTTTTGTTTTACATTTGAAGAAATCAGATTTTTATCTACACA